ATCCCCCCCACCCCCAGAAACTCGACACAGGCGATAACAATTAAGCAGCGCTGACGTCAGATCTGTAAGTTTATTTGCTCAATGTACGACGGCTACATAATGACTCACATTCATGATATTCCATCACTGAGGAAAAACTGCTAAGAATGGTCCGTGTGTGAAATAATTCCTTACAGAAACACGGAGTTGGAAAAAATAATCACTGATTAGACCTTAAAAATAGTTCACTGCATAACATGACAAAAAGCACAAACAAAGGCTCATTCAAAGAACACAGTCATTGTTCTCCTACACTGTAATAGTTATAATTTCACCATGACGAACACCAGACATTAAGATTAAGCTAACACTGGTGTTTTCTTTTGCTTTTTTTTCCTTTTTAAAAACAAAATCATATATAATTGCATGTCACTATAGCAACATCCATTAACAGATCAGTTTTGTTACGATCACTATTTGGTAGAGCAAACTTTACCCCCAAAAGAAAAAAATAAATTAAAAAACTTTAAAAAATTTTTTGAAGACTATTTTGTCATAGGAATACATAACATCTACAGTATAAGTTAATAAATTTCAAGCTACTGTATAGAAATACGACACTAGCATGCACAATATTGTATCAATAGAGTAATGGAGCAGTAATCATTTCACTGGAGAGACAGTATCATAGGCAAGTGCATCTCTTAAAAAACAAAAGAAACCATTCAAGCTGCTTAAAAATCAAGTCCCTGACCCCCACTCCGTTTTTAGCCCTCTTGTGCCATCTCTCCTGCATAAGTTTCCTAAAGCAGCCAGAGCGAAAGCCGAAAAGAAGAAGAAATAATTAAAAACAAAACAGAAAAAAAAAAAAAAAAGAAAGGTTTTGTAATTCCAGTAAATCGCTTCCAAATTAGACAGCTGGGACAACACTGCTCACGGGACACGAGGGTTGATGGAAGGAAGGTTAAAGAAGCCTAAAAGGGGATCTTCCAAGTCCACGGCACGTACCGGCACGGCGAGCCTCTGGCCACGGGATGCTGCACAACCCTACAGCCGGCCAGCGAGGCTGGGCAAGACTCTGCACGCGAAGGCATCCCGGGCAGAAGGAAAAGAAAAGCTTTGCCAGTGTCACCAGGGCTGTATCCAGGGGCTGAGGGGCAGCCCCGGCCCCCCTCACCCCCCCCAGGAGTCGGGGAAGCGGCTCCCTTTGGAGCACGGGGAGGGAGCGGGGACCACGTCTCCCCGCGCCACCCGACAGCGGCTGTACCGTGTGTGCAACACCACGACAGGCTGTTGGAGGACTGACTCTCGGAAGGGACAATGAAAGCCTGTTTCTAAAATTAAACAAACAAATAAAAAGAAAAAAATTAAAATAAAGAAAATGCAGGAGTGCGGTTTTTCCTTCCTGCGCAGCTTTAGGTGAAAAGCCACGTGGGCAGAGCACTCCGCGAGCCAGAGAACAGCAGTGAACTTCCAACAACGATGTAAAAAAGAAGAATTAAAAAGAAAGTTACTCAAAATGGGGTAAACGTTACCTGCTAAGCAACTCAGATGCCCCGTCTCCCACCCCCAGCCAGATCAGACAGAACTCGGAAAAGATTTTGCTAAGAAGAGAACTAAGTTCCTGGGCTCCCGATGGTGGATTAAGAAATGTCTATGATTGTAGCTCTTCCCTTGAGGATTTCTCTACCAAATTAGTTTCTAAGCTCCTGAAGTTCACTCATTACACCACAAGCTTCCCCAGGAGAAAGGAAAACGCACCCGGCTTCCCTGGTGACAAACAAGGGAGCCTGAGCGCCGGAGATCTGCTGACAAACCTCATGGTACAGTGGGAGAAAGTCAGGCAGAGTGAAATGGCAGTGCAATCCCTGAGGAAGCAGCTGTGGCACCTTAAATCAGGATGGTCTTTTGAAATACCAAACACAGTACATGACATACAGACCTGAATGCTCTTTTTTTTTTATTATTTTTTTTATTATTATTATTTTTTTTTTATTATTTAAGTGGCATTTTAAGTTTAAACACTTCCCCCTTTGTCTAATTAAGTTCTTAAACCTTTTGCTGTGGACTTAAAATAGTTGAAACAGCCGCTAGCCAAGCACCTGTTAAGCTGTTGACCAACAAACTAGAGCAGCTTTGATGTTCCTCGGGCGGGCGGTCTTCTTGCCTTGGGCGACACAGAATAGCTAAAGCCAGTCCACAGGCGAGGACTGATCAGGAAGGCAAGCCAAAAGAACTAGCAAAAGAAAAAAAAAACAAACAACAACAACAACAAAAACAGACAATCAAAGGCTTGATGTCATATGGCTGTAATGTAGAAATACTGTAAACTGCAATTTAGTGTTAATACTGTAAGCTACCCTAATAAATATCTTCATAAACAAACAAACAAAAGAGATTGGATGGCCTAAATCCTGGGGCTTTGCAAGCCCCAAATTCTTTAGGTTGGTTTTCTTTTTTTTTTTTTTTTTAAATTCCTTCTCAATTTTGGGGATTTGAAGCTACGCCCTGCCAGGCAGAGCGCTGCAGAGAGACGCCCCACGAGGTGGTACGGACACACGGCACTTGGACTGAAGAAACAAACGCACAAAGCCTTACTGGAACCACAGAACTCCCTTTTTTTTTTTTTGTTTTGTTTTGTTTTGTTTTGCGTTGCTTTCCTTAAAAACGAGGGCCATTCCATCCACGCGAATTCGTCTTAAAACCCTTTTTTATTTCTAGCGATAAAGTTAAATTAAAGACAGCTCCACTTGTATTAATAATCTACAGAACAGTCCATATGCCAGTGAGGCTGCTATTCCATACCAGCACAGCCAGCCTGACTTCCACTAGTGGTGTTTTGGCAAAAATGTCAACGAGGCAATCAAAGACAGGTTGTGGGGGGCCTCCCTGGGAAGGTGTCCCCTCCCTTTCCCTCCCCCACCCCTGACCCCTCCCCCCACTCGTGGGAAAAAAATAAAGACTGCAGTAGTTAGCATCAGCGTGCGGCTGCCAGTCCATCGGGGGGGGTCTAGTTGTTGCCTTCTCCGCCGTCGTCGTCTTGCTGATCGCTCGTCCAGAGCGTTAGGTTGTCGCGGAGGAGCTGCATGATGAGCGTTGAGTCCTTGTAGGAGTCCTCGTTGAGGGTGTCCAGCTCGGCAATGGCGTCGTCGAAGGCCGTCTTGGCCAGGTGGCAGGCCTGCTCCGGCGCGTTCTGGATCTCGTAGTAGAAAACCGAGTAGTTAAGGGCCAGCCCCAGCCGGATGGGATGGGTGGGCTGCATGTGCTCCTTGCTGATCTCATGGGCTTCGCTATAGGCTTTCTCCGAAGACTCCACCACGGTCGCCCTCTTCTCACCGGTGGCCACTTCGGCCAGGTAGCGGTAATAGTCCCCTTTCATCTTCAGGTAGAAGACTTTGCTCTCGTACTGCGTCTCGCTGCAGTTCTTGATCAGGTAGTTGTCCAGCAGGCTCAGCACATCCTGGCACACCGCTTCCAACTCCTTCTCGATCTTCTCGCGGTAGGCCCGCACCATTTCGATCTTCTTCTCGTTTCCATCAGCAGAGGTCTTCTGCTCGATGCTGCTAATTACTCGCCAAGAGGAACGCCGGGCCCCCACCACGTTTTTGTAGGCAACGGACAGCAGGTTCCTCTCTTCGTTGGACAGAGGCTCGTTCAGCTCCGTGACCTGCATTTAGAGAGGGAGAGAGAAGAGAGACACTTGGGTTAAGCCCCCAGTCACTTCATGTTCCCATCACACATGTAGATGTTCCCTTGCATCTCTAGCGAGACGCAGAAGGCAGCTGGCTCATAAATCATCTGGAATCCACTCTCATCCCAGAGGGAGCCAGCTGGGAAATCACACTGCAGTCCGGTCCTCCAGCAAAAGGGGGAGGTTGGGTTTTTTTTGAGGATTCTCCATCTCTTAGAAGATCCGTGTTCTCCAGAATAAGAAAAAAAAATTCTCTTTTAGGAAAGAGATGGCTTTCACCTGCGTGGTGAGAGTCAGACTTCGTGACACAGGCAAGAGGGACAGTCAAAGCAAAAGGGTGGAGACAATCTAAGGTTACGAGCCAACCGCATGGATTAACAATACCATGGCTACGGGGCGGGGGGGGGGGGGTCATCTTTTCCGTTTCCCACAAGCCCAGGCCATGCTTCCGAGATGCCTAAAGAACACGTTAGATGTTAAAATTACAGCCGCCTGAGGCATCTGCACAGATAAGTACTTAAAAGCTCACGTGGTAGAAAGAGTATGTTCTTCCCACACAGGATTTCCTTCACTGAGGAGAGCAGCCTTAATGCACAGCTTCCACCTGCCTCACGCGCCGCGGCAAGAGGGGGATTAAGGAGACGGGGGAGGACGGAGCCGTTCCACCTTGGCTGGTTCAGTTACTGGGAGGTGTCATTTTGATATCTCAATATCAAGGTGACATTTGATATTGCAATAATCTCATCCCAGCTCCTGCAACCCCCTGACTGCACCTCTGGCAACGGCGAGGCAGCCGGGGAACTGCCCTGCCTTGGGGACAGTGGGTCACTTGAAGGACGAGGGGCAACGGGCACAAGTTGGAACATAAGAGGTTCCACTCAAATATGAGGAGAAACTTCTTCACGGTGAGGGTGGCAGAGCCCTGGAACAGGCTGCCCAGGGAGGGTGTGGAGTCCCCTTCCTTGGAGATTTTCAAGACCCGCCTGGATGCTCCTGAGTAACATGCTCTGACAAGCTCTAGGCAATCCTGCTTCAGCAGGGGAGTGGGACTAGATGGTCTCTGTGGTCCCTTCCAACTCTGAAATTCAGTGAAATTCAGTGAAGGGCTCACACCCCACTTCGTGTGACTCCACACTGTGCCCCTGGAGCAGATGCAGCAGCCCAGGACACTGCTCCACAGCCTCTCAGCTGGGGTGGTTACAGCTGCCAAGTGGCACTTTGAGCCTGGATATTGCTGTTGTCCCCTTCCCCCGGGGGTCTCTCTGCCCCACCGCCTGCACCCCCCCAGTTTGGCTGTGTGGGAAGCGGGCCAGCAGAGCAGGAACCTGCCAGCCTCCTCTCGGCAGCCACCCCTCACAAGGATTAGGTAATGGTTTGGATGTGAAAGGTTTCTGCAAATACTGAGTCATTTTCACAAGGGTTTGCAAGGACGAGGTTTGTTCTGGGCCTTGATAACCACGTTTATGGTGGTGATCAGGAGGGCAAGGGCTCATGCTGGGAAGTGTAGGATGGTCCAGCCCAGGACCTCATTTGAGTGGCCCAGAATGACTCACCCTCACTTATTGACCTGCTCATTCCAGTAACATCCACCCCTGCCTGCAGATCTCCTCAGCCACCCTCTGGCTAATGTTTTCTTCCAAAACCAAGCGACACCTAAGCCTCAGTTTCCCCTGCAGCAAGCAGAGCACTCTGGTCTCTGATCTGGACCCCTCTACTCCTTTCCTTAAGGAACAAGGAGAGGCAGCAAGAAGAGCCTCCATCCACACTATTGCACAGACCCCTGCTGCTCCACGAGATGCTCTACAGCCTGGCAGGGGAAGCAGCAAACAGCCTACCTCCATGCAGAAGGTGGTCTTACTGGGCAAACCAGCACAACCACCTTCTATATCAAGGGTAAAATATGGGTGAGGGATCAGGGAAATGGGTGTCAGGTTAAAAGAGGGCAGAATCTCCTGTGACTATCAGCAGTTGCCACCGATCCAGGGCAAGGTCCACGGGGCAGCGTGCCAAGGTAGCTCCCAGCTTTCCTGCCCCAGGCCATCCAGGAGAATAACCCACCTCCCCCCCTCTCCCAGCCAGGCTAAGGGTGGCCGTTTAACCACAAGCCCTGGGTTGTGTGTGATATCCTGCTTCCCGCAGAGGGGCCGGAGCAGAGGCTCAGCCCTGCAACCTGCTCAAATACCCCTGGCAAGCCACACACACCCTGCTTCCAGGCCACCCTGTGCTATCGGTTCAGAGGTCTCCAGTTGCCTGTATTTTTACAGGGCTTAACAACTTTGAGATGACTCCATTCATTCTTCCCTCTGAGTGACACCTGCACACACATAAATTAAAGATACACTGAGGTCAAAGCCATCTGGAGCACAATGAAGGTGTCCCCCTGCCCTAGAGACCCCTAGTCTGTCCTTGGAGATATTGGAAACTTGATCGAGTTACTCAGGGTATTGTCTCATCTAAGTTACCCTGTTTTGAGTAAGGGAATTGGGACTAGAAACATCCAGAAATCCCAGCCTGACTTATTTTCATACCTTCCAGCTGTAAGTGGAGTGTCCAACATGGACAAGAGACTCGCCGAGTCCAACAGTTTTCCCATCCTGACACTGGTTATGAAGGCTGATAACCACAGGAGGTCTTGTTTTTAGGGAAAGGCTCTCTAATCCGAGATACCAGTTTTAAGCGTGGACCAAGCAGGTGTCTTTAAAGCCACCCCACAGCCAAGTGTGCAGATATTAATCACCGCACAAAGAAGTAGGTTTACCTCCTCTCACCAGAAGAGTCTTGCTGGAGGACAGATTTATTAAAACTACAGGGAGTTTCGTAGGATTAGCTTTGCCATAAACATTTTAAATTCGAAGCTATTAAGGATTAACGGAAGAAAGTTGCCTGTCAAAATCCTTTCAACAAACTGGCTGACAGATGGAAGGTACACCTGTGGAGAAAGCAAGATTCCTCCGGGGAGCTGGCGGGGAACTTATCAAAGCAGAAAGGGAGCCTCAATTAAGCATGGATCTCCTTTCTAGCGGTACCCAGGCTCCCAGTAAGGTAGAGCGCTGCAGAGATGCACTGCAGAGAAATGCAGAGGTGTGACACGGCTGGAGACAGGGACCGCATCCCTCAGCACTAGGAGCAGGGAGGGGAGAGCCTGCAATCCACAAATAATTCAGTTTGCAACGGAACCGAGAAAGGAAGAAAAGAAAACCATCTGGCACTTGCATTCGCAGCAGGAAGAAAACACAAGCTGCCCAGGACACTAGATAGGGAACAGTAAGGGTACACTTAGCTGCCTTAATCAGTCACTGGAAGGGGGAAAAGACATATCCCAGGTTAAGCTGCATTTCAGAACTGTCATCATCCTGGTCCCTTGGTCTGCCAGAACCTGCCTGCCATCTCAGTGCCACAACTAAGCCACTGCTGCCCACCTGCCTGCCCCACCACACTGATGTCTCTGCACGATCTGCCATGGCACACATGGCACTGCACAGTCACCATCCCCCTGCTTTTGCCAATAACACTGTACAGATGATCATCTCCAGCAGAAGGCCATCTAGAAGCCACTGCAGCAACCTGTCAAGCAGATGAGGGTCTGTGCCTTCACTGTAAGCCTCTTCTGGCCAACCAACTGCTGGATTTTTCCTCACACTGCAGGATACCAACACAAAGCGAGTTCGATCAAGCTGGAGGCTGAACAGCAAGCTCTGATATACTTAATTTATAGCATTACATTGAACGCCTCTGATGTAACATCAATAAGGCAATATCCTGCATCAGGCATGGATTAGATCGCAGTGGTCACATTAAAAGCCCTTTTGGAGAATTTTTGCTAATGCTTTTTTCCAGCACCCAGATTAATATTGCAACAACCTTCCCCTTCTTAACTCAGATCATGGAGGGGTCTCATCTCCCTTAAAAAGGGCAGCACCCTCATGTATAGACCAACGCAATGCGCATTAAGTCCCCTCATGCCATTCCCTGCGCTAGTACATGGAGTTAGAGACTTCAAATATCCAAAGACATCTCAGTTTGACCTTGAAAGGGCTTGGCAGGAACACAAAGCCATCAGCCTCTGCCTGAAAGCCTACCTACTCTCTGAGAAGCTCAGTCATTTTGAAGTTTTACTTCTCTAGTTGGCCGCAGAGAAAAGCAGAATTTGGACTGCAGGTCTCAGTGACAGCCAAGCCTCTCGTTTCACCCTGGTGGCTCCTGTAGATCAGCGGGCAGGGGGGGTGGAGATGCCCACAACTGAAACTGAGTCAAGCATTGCATGTGGCACAAGAAGCCAAATGCAAAGAGCTAGTCCACATGCTCACATAGCTGGAAACTTGATATATACAAGTCCTCTAGCTATTCTAGAAAAAAAAAAAAAAAAAAAAACCCTTTTTCTTTTTTTTTTTTTTTTTTCTTTTTTTCCCCCCCCAAACCAGTTTTAATATTTCCCCCAAAATTCCAAACCCAATATCTTTCTCTCTGCTAGTTTTTCTTCGCCTAAAGCCCGTCATTGCTGCAACCTTTGCCTCCCACGCTGGCGCTTGCTATCTCCTGGCTGCCTCCTCTTCCTCGCCATCTCCCCTCCACTGACTCACTGTCTGGCCCTGAGCTGGGGTGAGCTGGTGCTCCAGCATCACGGGAGGAAAGCCTGGGAAATGTGGGAATTTCTCCCCAGCTCTTTGGGGTGGGCTCAGTTGCTGAGCGTCACTTTCCTTTTTTCCTTTCTGCTTCTTCCCCCCCAAACCAGCCCGGCCTGGAAGCCCACTGGCTCGCTCTTTACGCAGAGCAGCAGGAAACCTCAGCTCTGGTGCCTCTCATTTCCCAATTCTGCAGGCAATGGTCACACTCACAAGAGCTTCCCCCATGCTCTGTCACAGCACGTGGCACACGTGCCAGGAGCCAGATCCTTTGCATGCTGCAGGCAGCCCTGTGCTCGGCAGAAGCCCTGCCTAGGGCAGGAGCAGAGGAGAAGACACTGAGCCAGGGAGTGC